TCACACTTCTCTAGTAAGTTTCGTCTGTGTGTGAAGACAGTAGCGCAAATCCGTGAATGAATGTTCCGAAGTGAAATAAACTTCAGCGGAATAAAGTTGAATGGAATTGAATTGAATTAAAGTTGAATAAACTTCAACTTTACTGTTCAGTGCACTGATGTCAGACTCATTTTGGATAATAAAGTTTATTGTTAAATGCCCTGCCTCCATTATGTATCTCTGTCACATCATTATAAGTGTTTGATCACCATATTTGAGTGACCATTGCAAAAAATGTGTTTATGTATATATATTCTGTTTATGTATATACTGTATTCTATATATAGTACCAGTCAAATGTTTGGACACACGAATGGGAAAGTGTCCAAACTTTTGACTGGTACTGTACTATAATATACACAAAGATATCGGATATCGATATATCGATATCTGCATTTTTTTACTCCCTAATATCGGTATCGGTATTGGACCCAAAAAAACCCATATCGGTCGGGCTCTAATATATATATATATATATGTGTACTATAATATTTAATCAAAAGTAATTACAATTATGTAATTTCTTTTGAACAAGTATTGTAAAAAAAACAAAAAAACAATCAGCTCACATTAATTTGAGAGGTCACTTTTTTGGGGGGAAAGTAATATTTTTATTGAGCAAGGATACATTAAACTGATCAAAAGTACCAGCAAATAAATTTTTGTTTCAAATAAATGTTGTTTCTTTTGAACTTTGTTTATTATAGAATCCTGAAAAAGAAAATGCATCACGGTTTCCACAAAAATATGAAGCAGCCACAAGTGTTTTCAACATTGTGATAATAATCAGAAATGTTTCTTGAGCAGCAAATCAGCATATTAGAATGATGTCTGAAGGATCATGTGACACTGAAGACAGGAGTAATGATGCTGAAAATTCACAGAAATAAATTGCATTTTACAACATATTCACATAGTAAGCTGCTATTTTAAATTGTAATAATATTTAACATTTTCTTTCCTGTATTTTTGCACAAAAATGGTGAGCAGACGAGTCTAACCTTTACCTTTTCCTGCAGCGCTGACGAGCACGGTGGCGTCGGTGTGTAACCCCGCAGACGTCAGCTGTCTAGACTCCTACAACTTCTCCTCGCTGGACGGGCTGCACCGCGGGCCCCTGAGCCACGAAGAGCCGCTCAACTACTCCGGCGACGGAGACTGCATCAACCTGCTGGAAACTGGCTTCTACCACTCGGACCTCGGGCAGATCAGCGTGTGCGGAGAGGACTGCGAGCGGCCCCCGGCCAAGCGGCTGAAGATGGGCCTGTCGGAACCCTTCATAAACGACAACAGGAGCATGGGCGTGGATTTCGAGGGCCGCACGCACCACATCACAAGTGCCAAAATGGCGGTTTCGGTCAGTGACTTCGGCGAGGCGGGCAGCTACATGGGAGCGCACACACTACTGCAGTCGGAGTAACACGAGCGCGCATGCCAACTCTCACGGGACTAGCTGCAATCTAACATGTACATAGCCGCGTATTCCTTTGAATATTTGCTTTATTTAGTTTTCCTGATTATATACGTGTGTATATATATGTACAGATCTTTTTTTTTTTTTTTTACTATGACATCAGTGATGTCTAATTGTACAGACCTAAATCTTGATTTCTCAAGAGTTAATACAGCCATTTATTTTCCAGTCTTGAATTTTTTGGAAGTGTCATATAAACGTTGTCTACGTCCGAATACTGTGGAAAACTGAACTCGCATACTTGGCCCGAGGGCAAGGGGTTTTACTAAGCCATCATGACGACTGGCTGTCAGCTCAGCCTCTCCTCTGTGGTTCCCATCAGTGTTTACAGCTCAGCCTTCGTCTGAACGGCATCTACGACCCCTTCTTCGTTTCGTTACGCACCATTTTTTGCACAAGAACCTGGAAGAAGTTCAGCCCTGGGATATTTTCTATGTTGACGGACTGCAAAAACAAACCTACGAACAATTGAAAGTGGTTCTAGCAAATATAAAAGGCTCTAAATACAATAGAGGTATTACGACGTGTGTGATTAAAATGTTTTTTTCCTACTTCTACGCATATTTATTAGTGTTCCTCTTGCTTTAGCAGTCGGCGTTTGGCGTATTTATTGCAATGAAGACCATTGGACTGCATCATGGTTGTTTTTGTTTCCCGAAATGGTTGTGAGATACTGGCACATGTGTTCGTGTTTTTCTTAGTTTTTGTTCATTTCGATATTTTGAGATCACTATTTATTGAAAAACCGTTTTGCAGGGATTTCTCGCCACGGGAACAGAACCAAGCCGCAGGTTTACCCGTCTGTTCCCTTCAGTGACCGATTATGCAACGTTGTAAATGATTTTTCTGGCACGGCGTTCGTTTGCTGCAAGCACTGATCTGACGTTTATCTATGCATCGAGAATCGCTTACAGATGAAACGGATCATTTCGGACCTCGTTTGCCTGTTTTTCCAGCTTTCCCAAGTTTTACTTTACACACTCTCGTATGGCAATAATTTGTAAATATGTACAGATACCTGACATACCTTGCTGTTTTTTTTCTTCCTCGGCAAGCAGACTTGAACTTGAAGACTTGCTTTTGAGTCTGTGTATGCCACAAGAATGCCTTCTCGACTTTACCATTCGTTCAACGCTTTTTCGCACAAGAGATTTGCTTAAGAAGAGTTATTTATTTATTTATTTATTCACTCAGCTGCAAGTGTGTTTGCGTTCTGTACACGAGTGAAATACGGCCGGAGACGAAGGGCTAGCTGAATGTACAGTATTATCACATCTTAGGGATTTACTGAAGTCGAATGTCTCTCGGTTAAGGCAGAAGCCCGGTTTGCAGTGTTGCCTTAACCCTCATTCAAACCGTGCTTGTTGAATGGATCTGGAAAACGCTTGGGAGGCGATCTATTGGACGGCTCGTGCTGTGTCTGTAAAATCCTGTTATAAATCCTCGTACCTGCGGCCAGAATCCTCCTTTATTTTTATTAGTTTTTTTGGTCTTGACATACTTGAAGGATGCGTATTGATCGATTTAAATACAATATTCTACAATTCAGTCCTGTAGGTTGTGCAATTCAGTTCTTCTGTCCCTCCATGAATCGAAAAGAGCTTTAGGAAATTGTGTTGGTGCAGTAATTTGTCCAAAGTTTGTATAAAAAAAAAAAAGTTAATGGCTTAAAATTGTAATGTAGTAATGGTTGTCTGCTTCAAATGTACATTGAAAAACCTTCCCTTATCTTTGGAATGTTTTATGCTTTATTTTGTTTCATATCTAATCATTTGCTTTTGTGTTTTTTGGAGGGGGGGGGTTGCTGGGTAAAGTTCTGTTTTTTGACACATTTTCATGTAATTAAATTATAGTGTTAAATAGACAATCAAACGGCGATTAATATTGGAACAGGAAGTTGTATCATTCTTAATATTTGTACATAGACACTGTTCTTGTTTCGTTGGTTTTATTTAGTATTTTATGTTGTACTTAACTGGCAAACCATTCCAGAAATAAAGTTCTGGAGATATTATAACCGTGTTGATGAGTTTATCCAAATACTTGCTCAAATTGGATGCCTCTGGATCTTTATTTGCAGTAATAATGCATCACAAGATTGCCGTCACTGAAATGAGAATTTCTACAGTATAGGCCACAGCTTAATTATCTAAAAAAGGAAACAAAGGAATTTGATTTAGCTTCCTCCTATGTATTCACAAACGTCTGATATCAAATGCTAATTTTATGGAAAAAGAATAGAGCAAGCTAGTGTTAGAGGCCTTTTTTGCTTTTGTTAATCAGAAGTCAGAATTATAATTGTATAATAAATAAAAAGAAAACAAATAGATACTATTCCCACTCTCCTAAACCCAATAGTGTGAGTGAGACGGTAACTTGCACAAATAACTGTAGACTGTATGACCCGTTAACAGTTGATCATTTATTCCTTTTCTATTTTTAGGAAACTAGACTTCTTTGAAAGAATTGGCTCTGTTTAAATGAACGAATGAAATAAAACAAATAGTTGATAAAGTTCTCCACAACTTTGATAAGCACTTCTGTTTAACACTTCATACACAAGTTTCCCAGAATTCATTTCAATATCAAAACACACAAATTGATTTCCAAAAGACACTGGATATATCAAACAAAACTCTGAACCATAAAAATGACTCTTGAATTCAAATGATTCACTTCATATAAACTCAGAAATGACTCTTGACTCAGTTCAAATGAACTCTGAAGTGACTCTTGACTCAGTTCAACTGAACTCTGAAATGACTCTTGACTCAGTTCAACTGAACTCTGAAGTGACTCTTGAATCAGTTCAACTGAAATCTGAAATGACTCTTGACTCAGTTCAAATGAACTCTGAAATGACTCTTGACTCCGTTCAAATGAACTCTGAAGTGACTCTTGACTCAGTTCAAATGAACTCTGAAATGACTCTTGTGATTCAACAGATGATTCAGTTTTCACACCAAACCCAGTTCAATTGCCTAGTTCATGTTTTCAGTTCAGTTCAGTCTGAATCAGTAAAGAGTTCATGTGTGTGTGTAAGTGCAAAGAATGTTTGTACCAGTCTGTAGCAATGGTGAAATTGATGCAATGAACATTCTATGGCTACTATTTTACATAAAACCCCTTATACAACACTGAATATGTATACTAAGATACAAAAAAAAAGTTATTATCCCACTGGTCACTATTGTTGCCATCAACATGTTTACTCATTCTATGTCCACACTCAACAAAACTGAATAATTGTGAATTCATACAGAGTTCTGGCATGAAACTCTAGATGGCGCAGTCCGATAGGTCTAACTCAATCTGACCTAATGACATCATTATCACATGGCACAGCTGATTGGTTCTCTCCTGTATCGGTAGCCAATGAGCTCACTGCTCAACATTCAAATATATGACTAGTGCTTGCTGTAGCAGTTGCAGCTTGCTTCAGAACAGCGAAATCAACATCTAAAATAAGTGAATGCTCTTCTAATCCATATCGCTGTGTGAATTGCGTAGTCTGCCTAATTGAATTAAAAAAATCAGCAACCATAATCAAGTTTAAACTAGTGTCATATTAGCAGTTTGCATTGTATGCAGGAGCGAATTTTAATCATATTAGCAGCAGCATTTAGCATCTGTGTTTATACAGCTGGAGCAAAACGCAGTTTAGAGCATATCGCTCTGGGGACACGCCGATAGTAACGGACATGAAACAGGTTAAATTAAATGAGCATTCTTGTGTATGCATTTCAATGGGGGTTCGCCATATACATCAGCGATTATCCCAGTGTTCACGGTCGTTATTTCTAAGGTCGATGATTTCATTGTGATGAGTATGTGGTTGATTTCAGCTGCACGCAGCACTGCAATGACAGTGTTGCGGGTGACGCTGAAGATCACTATCTACGGCTGTAACAGTTAGTTCCTAGTAAAATGCATGATGGGTAGTGTAGTTCGGTGAAATGTGCGCGTGCGACGTGTGCTAACGCTGTGCTGTGTAATTCAGAAAACGGAGAAGGAACATTTATATTCTGCTTTTATTTCAGGTCAGTCCACCCGGGGGGTTTTGTGCACTGTAACTTCGACAACTTTTATCTGCACAAGAGAGTAAAATGGCATGCATCGGCTAACTTTGTCCATTTCATCATTGCATGAACATGAATTAACAAACTGTTACGCTGCAGCTGGGACAGATGAAGTGGAGAAAGTAACAGCAGTTATCAAATGACTAAATTATGATATTTGCTCAGGTGGGTGCTGGGGTCTTATCTATCAGATTGCAACGTATATCCATTTTGTTAATTAAACATTACACAGTGCGCATCTAATTAGAGTTAAGCCAGTTGGCGTGGTAGCCCAGGCTCACATAGTCATAGCCCACTATTGTTAAAGTCGGCATGAAACGGAATTTTTTCCGATTTTGTCTTTTCTTCTCTACTGTGATGTATATCCAAGTGAAACGGCATCTGAAATGAGAGGACGGGACTTGATTTCGTCCTTCGGGAATTGATTGGATCGTTGGAAGGTGGGGCGTTGCAAACAAAATGGAGGCAGATCTGAATGCCAGTTTGCAGTTAGTGGTGGGGGATTTCTCTCCACTGGATTCACAGCCGACACCCAAGCATGAATAAATGTTTTTTTTATTGAGGATGACGACGATCACAGGCGCACAAAACATGCCTAAATAGCGCGCAAAAGAGAGAGAGAGGGACTGCCTTAATGACTGAGCACGTCCTCCATCAGGTTAAGTCATATTCCTGAAAAAAAATTAGTCTGCTATGTCCTAAGAGTAATGTTGTCGTAATATCCTAATATCTTTTCAATGTTTAGGGGTAACTTACTCCCTCATAACTGGTGTCAGTGCTATAAAGTGAAGCATCAGCTTCAGCTTTAACCCCTGTCGTTTATCCAAGCGTTTACCCCTCACCTCACTAGCTCCGACCTAAGCCGGTCGGCATGGTAGCCCAGGCTCACATAGTCATAGGCCACTAGCATTAAGCCAGTCCGCGTGGTAGCCCAGGCACACATAGATAGCAATACATGCGGTTCACATGGCTCTTTGGAGCAGCAGCAGTACATATGTCTTGGCGATAGATCTACTTGTTGGGGGGGTGTTTTGTTCTTGTTTTGGCTTGTATTGTCCCTTCTATGTCACCTGCTTTGTGGGGGGTTATTTCATATATGTTATTTGCAGCAGCAATATTTCTTACATGCTCACAGCAGCATGTTGTGGATGTATTGGCAGTAGCAAGTCTCAGTACTTGCTCTGCCGCAGCAGCAGCAGCAGGAGCAGCGTAGCAGATCTTCCCCAGCTCCACCTGTATGGATCTGCTATGAGGTGATTTATGTATGCTATATGGGGGTTATTTCATGTATGTTATATTTACAGCAGCAATATTTCTAACATGAAATGTAAGGCCGATATCGGCCGATAAGTTTTTCTGTTTGGCCAATGTGTTCGAGGCGGGACTTTTATTTTGAAGGCACTGAGAACGGCAGCGCCTGAGCACACACCGCTTACATTCTCTCTCCTGTTCGCTGTCGTCGTTCAGTTCTGTCTAATACGGATAGAAGTCTATCTAATTGGCCAATGTGTTCGAGGCGGGACTTTTATTTTGAAGGCACTGAGAACGGCAGCGCCTGAGCACACACCGCTTACATTCTCTCTCCTGTTCACTGTCGTCATTCAGTTCTGTCTAATATGGATAGAAGTCTATCTAATAATCAGATAGAACTGTTAAACAAAGGAATTAAAATCTATACAAAAAGTATTATAACGATTGCTTTAATATTATTAGTAATAGAAAGGCAAACATTATACTTTCTCGTTTGCCGTCAGCATTCAGCAAATACGCATTTATATCATTTAAACAAATCTTTGAATAGCTAATGAAAATTTAATTTCGCAAACCTTGCCGACTTAGTCGATTCTTGTCCGTGCGAATTGAATGCGGACAGGAGGAGAGTTCAGCTTCACTGGAGACGCGCGATCGACGAACTTTAAACTCGTGATTTCAAATTATGCTGCGCTTTATGCATTTTCCCACTGTCATATTAATGTCATTTTCATTGTGTGCTGTATGTAAAATGAGTGTTACCGTGGCTTTATTTGAAAAAATTTATATGATTCCCAATGCACACAAACTGAATACTGAGTGCTCTGTTGGTTACAGTGTTTACTTCCTTTTTAATTAGATTTTTATTAAATATGCATTTATTTGTGAAAAATGCTTTGTCTTCTAAAGTATAAGTATGTTTATTTTACACACTTATTTTTAATCCATTTTCAAATGATTTCAAATTTCTTAAATATAAATAAAATGATATCTGCTTTATATCGGCAATCCTGCTTTCCAAGATATCGGCATCGGCAGTCAAAAAACCCATATCGGTCGACCACTATCTGTGATTAGTAGTAAATCTCCAGCAGGTGCTTTCAGATGGAGCGGCGTTTACTACACAGAGCCGTAGTTCACTGACAAGCTACACAAAATTGCTTTCGAAATCATTGCCGATTTTGTGTAGCTTGTCAGTGAACTACGGCTCTGTGTAGTAAATGTATTTGTGGTGCTCTCCCATTCACTGCTCTTCAAGTTAACCCAACTATGACGACTTCCGCTGCTGAGAAACCCGGAAATGTGAAAAGGGTCTATTAAGCTCACGTGTCCTTTAATAACCAATCACATTACAGCCTTGACGTCACTGAATTTCATTCAGAGTTGTGCAACACTCAATCTTATTAGATTTTTTATTTATTATTTTTTTTGGTGCTTTGTTTCCATTTTATTTTTGTGGTTGATATTATGTGATGTATGCTTATTCTTCTGGATGTTCCCGTTCTCTGCAAAAAAAAAAAAAAAAAAACTCAGTCGCCGTTTACGGATCCCATAGGAATGAAAGAGAAGTGCCGTAAGCTGAATCACACCTGTCGCAAAAAATCAGTGACTTCTCTTATTAAACGGCATTTGTTCGTGGTAAACTCTAAAAATAGTTCAATCCAAACGTATCCATTTAGTGTAAAACATGCTGAAGATTAGCAGATGGCTGTCGATTAATTAAATGATAAGCCGTTTCCTCTTAAAAAGCTGTTTTTTCAGCGTAGTGAAGCCTCTCCTCCTTTTGACATCCATTCAAAAAAAAAAACGGCCTCCTTTCCGTTAGCATTAGCCGTTACGTTCTTTTGGCTTAAAGGTTGCAGGCTTGGCTTCTAGTGGCTTTGGCTGCTATAATAATCGATCACAGTGCGTTGCATCTGCTCGCTTTCTGATTGGAGGACACGGGGGAGAAGGCGTGTCCTCTGCGAAATCCAAAAATGTGATTGGACCGTCTTTAGTCCCGCCTTCACCAGCAGCGGAGATGGACGCGCTGGTGAACCGCTCCGCCGCGTCGCGTCCGGTTCTGCGTTCTTAACCGTTAACGTACGGGATCCCCGGCGCGTTTGACTAAAACCGACGCAGTTCGTCGCTTGTTTCTATCATAGGATCTCAAGCCGGCAGGATGGCAGGCGGCGGCGGTTGCGTGATGCTCCGCGGCGCTCAGATCCGGGACCTGCTGGACGCCAAACACAACGTGCTGTTCGACTGCGACGGCGTCGTCTGGAACGGAGAAACGGCCGTTACCGGAGCTCCGGAGGTGGTCAGTCTGCTCAAGCAGCGCGGCAAACGCGTGTTCTTCGTCACTAACAACTGCACCAGGCCGCGGGAGAACTACGTGCAGAAGTTCAGCCGCCTCGGCTTCGCGGACGTCGCGGAGGAGGAGATCTTCAGCTCGGCGTACTGCTCCGCCGCGTACCTGCGCGATGTGGCGCGGCTGCAGGGGAAGGTGTACGTGATCGGCTGCGGCGGGGTGATGAAGGAGCTGCGGGACGCCGGGGTGCCGGTGGCGGAGGAGGGGGACGCGGAGCCGGGCGCCAGCATCTACACCTGCCCGCTGGACCCGGATGTGAAGGCGGTGCTGGTGGGATACGACGAGAACTTCACCTTCATGAAGCTCGCCAAAGCCTGCTGCTACCTGCGGATCTGCAGCATAAATTAAATACTTTTTCTCAATACGATAATTAATTAAAATGACGACAAAGTTTTGGGTGTAAATGTGCTTAACTGGCATTAGAATACACTAAGCATATCATTTCTTAAAGCAAAATAAAACTTTACAAATGTGGAAGAATCCAGTTTTTTATTGATTTATTTTTTAAGAAGGATAATAAAGCCGATTTTAAGGACT